AAGTGGAACTGAAGTATTTGTACTATACATGGATACATTGCATATACCTGTGCATCACATAGACAACAATACTGTACAAAGCCAACAAACACATTGGTCTGTTTGCCTTCAGGGACTCCTCTCAACAGCAGCTGCAAGAAGCAACAGGAGCCAAAAGACCCAGAACAGCTTTGAGAGAAGAGGAGAAGCAGAGGCTGTCTTAAGAGGTCTGCAACACCATCCTGGATCACACCAAAGAAAGGTTCTCTTTCTCTGGCCACCTTGTGAGTGCTACCTTACTGCAAGCAGACATGTTTGAAAGGTACTGCCATTCAAAAAAATAAAAAATCTGTTCATGTTCATTTTTACAAATCTATACAATTGGCCAGAATATGGTTGTTCATATTTACAAATCTATACAATTGGCCAGAATATGGTTGTTCATTTTTACAAAGCCATACATATTGTTTATGCAGTGTTGAGGAATGTGAAAGAACACCCTTGATTATTTTTACTGTGATAACTTATTTTGCTTTTGTAAGCCAACACTTTTGAGATCAGTCAATAAATGCTTCTGGTATTGACTTAAATGCTGCCCCTGTCTTCATGTTGTTGCTGGACATATCTTTTTAAAAATGTGTGTAGGTCACCTAAATCATCAGAAAAATTGCCCCCCCTGAGAATTTTTTCAGGAGCCGCCACTGTAAATAGGCTATTTATTTTTGCTAATAAAAACAGAATGACAATTTACTTCAAATCCCCCAAATTGGTATGTGTTAATTGTAGGGTTGCCCATGGGGCTGGGGATCAGAAATGTCCCATGCGAGAGAGGCAGGTTGAGGTTTCCAGGGTTAGAGTAGTGCAGAAGTTGTCATATGCTGAGGCAGTGAAGAAAGTAGACGAAGATGGGTCAAGAGGGAGGGATGCTGAGAGGAGTGGCGTGAGTAGTAGATCTGTACCAGTACAGAGGGATAAACCAACAAGTGATATATGTTTCAGTAAGATTGGATATTTGGCATTTATAGCAATGGTTATCAACTGTACTGCAGGGATGGAACGTAAGTCGCAGAAAATAGAGGTTGTGGTGGCAGCTGCAGAGAGGTATTTGGGTGTGCAAGACTTGACATCAGAAGAGTTACAGGGTGTGTTAAGTGGCGGTGTCCCATCCTTTCAGGCTGTTGGCCTGAAGTAGAACTAAATAGATGTAAATAGTATGGTATTTATTATTCTTTTTTATGTTTTGTGAGTGTAGTGCTAGATGGTAGGGTATTAGTATTATTTTTTATTTTTTAAAGCAAAGTATTAGTCTAGAAGGTGGTCCTCTGTAGCTCAGCTGGTAGAGCACGGCGCTTGTAACGCCAAGGTAGTGGGTTCGATCCCCGGGACCACCCATACACAAAAATGTATGCACGAATGACTGTAAGTCGCTTTGGATAAAAGCGTCTGCTAAATGGCATATTATTATATTATTATAAGGTGGCGGTAATGCAACATTTATTGGATCCCAACCGCCATTAAACCTAATCGAAGAAGAAGACGTCCCACAAATATTGCGACAGTGACGTATTCCATAACGTTGTTACAAACAAAATGGCGTCCGGCAGTGGGGTATGTATCGTCTAATTTAGAGAGGCTTTTCTGCTAATGTATAAGGTGTTATACAGGTTCTAGGGTGAAATAAACACAATGACTTTTGTATGTCATAATTCGTGTGAGAGTAGAACGTTTGAGATCAATTCTAACTATGTACAATCACCAGCCACCATGGACGTAAGCTAACCGTGCTATCGAACTAGCAAAGCTTGTGACTTTTACCAATGGCTGTTGTTTGTTTGTTTGTCTAACTCATTGGTTCTCAAACCTCTCTGGACACCCCAGATGTTTCACAATTTTGTTGTAGCCCTGAACTAGTTCACCTGATACACTTAGTCAAGGGCTTGATAATTAGTTGACAATTTGAATCCGATGTGCTAGCTCTGGAATAGATCAAGTACATGTAACGGTTGTGGTTCCCCAGGATGTTTGAGAACTGTAGGTAGTAAGTAAAAACTATAAGTAAAAGTAATTGTGCTTGAAGAAATTATGTTCTGTGTTAAAATGTACTGTCAGCGTGCATTTCTCAAACTAACTTTTTTCCTTTGATATGTTGCTAAAGTCCAGTGGTGGTGGGGGAGGTAATAGCAGCAAGAATGATTTTCGCCGAAAGTGGGACAAAGATGAGTATGAACAACTGGCTCAAAAACGTCTCGATGAGGAGAGGGACAAAAAAGATGGTAATTATACTTTCCTTTCGCCCCAGTAACTAACACATGGGAGCTAATAATATGGATTAAGTGTTTTCTCCCTAAATCATCAAACTATGGAGGCAAAATTCTAAGTGAAAGCTTCAAACTGAAGTTGATCCCCATGAATACCTGTGAGTAATGATTAGGGGAAGAACACACCCTGAACATATACATCATTATAATGCCTCCCTTCTCTCAGGCAAGCCAGCGCCCCCAGTCAAGCGGGAGCTCCTGCGACACAGGGACTACAAGGTGGACCTCGAGTCCAAGCTGGGTAAAACCATTGTTATCACCAAGACCACACCACAGGCTGAGATGGGCGGGTAAGAGGCTGGCATCCAAAGATGTTCCTGAAATGAAGTTAACACTGTATTGGCACTCCCTTATCTAAGAGCTGTATGCATTATATCATTTATTAATACAGATGAGCCCTAATTGATCTATTTGTCAGGTCCTTGTCTTTTTGACAACAGTGATACAGGTGTCTGATGATGTTCTATCTCATGTTCAGGTACTACTGCAATGTGTGTGATTGTGTTGTGAAGGATTCCATCAACTTCTTGGACCACATCAATGGCAAGAAACGTGAGTATGCACAACATTGTCATCTACATTAGAAGTGCAGCGTAGATGGCTAAATTGGTAATAATCTACTTTCTCCTCACAGACCAGAGGAATCTGGGGATGTCCATGCGCGTAGAGAGATCCTCATTGGACCAGGTGAAGAAACGATTTGAAGTTAACAAGAAGAAGATTGAGGAGAAGCAGACGGAGTATGATTTTGAAGAGCGCATGAAAGAGCTTCGAGAAGAGGTCAGTGATGGGGCTAGAATACTGTCAATCTTACTCTCAGTCCAAATGGATGTAATGTGTATTAGTTTAGGTCAGGAAATAAATGCCATTGCTGGTATGACTAACACGTAAGTTAAATGACCATTTAAGCTATGCTAAAACAAATAGTGAAAGCACATATCCCTGTCACTTCTTTTCCCAGGAGGAGAAAGCAAAGGCATACAAGAAGGAGAAGCAGAAGGAAAAGAAGCGTAAAGCAGAAGAGGATCTTTTCGAGGAGGATGATGAAATGGCTGCTGTGATGGGATTCTCAGGGTTTGGTTCCTCAAAGAAAGGCAAATGACCTAAAGACTTTCTGCATTTCTTTACACTCTACGACCTTTCCCTTTTGGCTGATCACAAAGTAAACTTTGCTGTCTATAGTATTCTATTAGCCTGTTCCCTGATGTGCTTTAGCCAGCTATTTGTTGTCCTGAGCACGATAAAAGGGTTGGCTATAGATCAAACTGTTCTGCTACCAGGTTGGTATTCTATGATGCATCATATCCCCAAAACCCCCATTCTATTCCAAAACCAGCCCCTCAAAAAACTAAACACATGCTGTACATAGACACAGTCTGAGGAGTCCCTGAAACGGCTAGGTTTGTGGTTGATAGAATGGGATAACATGTCATAGTAATACAATTAGTAATTTATTGGGATTTTTATATCCGAATACAAGGGTAAATGTCCACTGAGATGTTTTATTTTATTTTTTTATTTTATATAAACTTACAACAGGTTACCATTGACCCTTTGAAGCTTATTTTGTGTGTTCATTTATGTCAGCATTCCACTAGTTGCACTACCTATATTTTCTGTAGTGTTTTAGCGCAAATATAGTGGATGTTTAAGTTTCATCTGCTATCAAATACATCAGTTATTGGACAGTGCATTTAATTTAATTTGCCTTTTCAACTGTTGGGCCCCCAAATGACAACCTCACAACTAAATGCTTCCCTAGTAAATGTCACCTAGAAACATGGGGCAATTGTGTGTGTGTAGTAGTGTTTGCCTTACTCAAGACATCTGTGATTCATACAATAAATTGTTTGACTTTGTAAATCTTTTGTAATAATTAATAATAATTAGTCATTTAGCAGACGCTCTTATCCAGAGCGACTTACAGGAGCAATTAGGGTTAAGTGCCTTGCTCAAGGGCACATCGACAGATTTTTCACCTAGTCGGTTCGGGGATTAGAACCAGCGACCTTTCGGTTACTGGCACAACGCTCTTAACCACTAAGCTACCTGCCGCCCTTTTGTACTGCCATCCTTCTCAATATGAAACTATGGTGCAAACAAAAGAGGATTACTCTGGAACAAATATGCTTGCTAACAAATGTTTTAGTTATGCATTTAATAAATTGTTTAGGAAAAAAACATTGTAAAATTATCCCCAGGTTTGAACTTCATTGCCTCTGAAGTTCTGGATTGATGTTTCTGTCTGGGTTTAGTTCAGCGACTTCCTGGTGCCGTGAGGGTGTCTTAGTGTGTGTCTGATTTTGTCTATTCCTGTAAAAGACACACCACAGGGAGAGAGCGCTTGCATTATCTTTGGACCAATGTATCATTATGCATAACAAATGTACCATTCCTCTTAGCTTCCGGTGCTGAAATGACTGCAGAGCATGGGTATTATCTCACCTTGTTTCTCCATGAAGCGGGGTACACGCAGCACTCCAAAACACATGAGTATGGAGAGAAGAGGGTACATCATAGCCACTGCCCAGAAGAATAACACCAGTGCCACAATGCAATTGTTCCCCAACACCTGGAAATAATAAAAACAAAAGGAGAACAACCAACTCAGTAAATGTTGTACACCACAGCAACTATGCAGCAGAGGTTACTCCAGGGTAGTCTGTTTTATTTCTCACCTGGATATGTCCTCCAAGAGCCCCATGATCAGAGAACAAACCAGCAAGCATCAAGCCCCAGGCCCCTGGAATTAAGTATCCTGACATAAAGAGAAAGTGAGACGCATTATGATTCATGTGGTTTTGGGGATGAGAGACAATTTTTGTATTTCAACCAGAAATGTGATTCTAACCAGAGACGATGTTAAGGGGGTCATCCACATTCACAGCACAGAGGAAGCGCCGAAAGCCGATAAATAGGAGAGATCCAGTGGCCCCACACATGACTGCCACACCAGGCATGTAGGTATCTACTCCTGCACACACTGCCACCTGTAAACACCACAGAAAGACCAGACTGAGCTCAGCGTAAAAACAAATGCTTAGTTATTGATAATGCACTGGTCAACACAAGCCCCATAGATTATGTGCAGTCACAACAGACAAAACAACTCCAAGCCCCCGTAGTGTGTTACCATGCCAGCAATGGCCCCAGAGAGCATGCTGTCGAGATCATAGTAGTTCTTATCGATGCGTTGGATCATTAGTCCGTAGAGTCCTCCGCTTGTAGCGGCATGCAGCAGGTTTACAGTGCCCAGCCCCAGCAGCAGGCCCTCCTCAGCATCCAACACATGGGGGTGAGTGCCCATCACCAGGCCCAAGAACCCCAGCATTTGAAGGCATCCTCCCAGCACCACCATCTAAGAACAGTCATATACAAGGGAGACATAAGGAGTTGGTGGATGCAGAAGAATGGAACAGCATCTACTTTTGTAGTCTTCCGATGGCCTTTGCACTTGTATCCATGACTTACAGGCTGGCTGTGCTCTGTCCGTTTGAAATGGGGACTCCAGCGTCCAGCCCGTGATCCTATAACCCGCAGTGAGACAGCTGCCACTGCACCACTCAGCAAGAAGATCACACCGCTGCCTGCATAGTCCTGAATGGAAATGTGGGTCAATACGAGATCATCTCTCTGCTTGTAATGCATAGCTAAATCCTGAATTTGATTATGGTATGATATTTTTACTGGTTCACACCTGTGATGGGTAGGAGGTGGAGGTTGGACTGAAGATGCCTTGCTGGTCCCAGACCCAATGACAAGCCAGAGGGTAGATTATTCCTGAGGAAACAGAGAGACTCTCAACACAAGCCACATAACAAACCTCACCTCAAAAGTATTGAGTGGAGGGAAAGTGGCCCAAAAACAGTGGTTTTAGAATCAGTGAGTGAGAATACCTGAGAAAACATATGCGGATATGAGGTAGCCGATGGGTTCTGTCCTCTCGTTGGCGGCCCCTAGTGCCAGAGTAGTGGCCACAGCACAGCGAACATAGTTGAAGAAGAAGTTGACCATGTTTGTCTTGTTCAGTGTGAGGAAGAATTGGGTTCCGATAACAGCGTTGTGCTCCCCAAAGGCAAACGCATAGCCATGGAGAAAGAAAGCCAGCAAGGTGACAACTGAAAACAAACAAGGGATGGATGGGATTAAAAGAAGTAGTGAACTTAGCTTTACCCATTAGGCCCATTGTTTTGTTGGTTGCATTGCATAAAAACATCAATACTTTTTCCCAGCAGATTAAAGATCTTCATGACCTAAACAGTCACCTACTAATTTTCTTCTTTGACCTGTAGGCCTAACTATAGTTCACAAATGCCTACTCTGCCACATCAGTCACCAGGAAGTGGAAACTGTGCTATTGAAACAACTGCTGTCAAGACAGCAAGCAGCATGCATGCTATTGCTCCTTCTTACACTAACATGCAAGCATAAAGCTTGCAACCTGTTTATGGGTTGGTGTCAGTGGAGGCCTGTAAGCATGTGACATCTACAGTATCCTGAGATTTTTGTATTTTAATATGTTTTTAATAAAAATAAAACTTTATTTAACTAGGTAAGCCAGTTGAGAACAAGTTCTCATTTACAACTGCGACCTGGCCAAGATAAAGCAAAGCAGTGTGATAAAAACAACAAAACAGAGTTACATATGGGGTAAAACAAAACATAAAGTCAAAAATACAACAGAAAATATATATACAGTGTGTGCAAATGTAGCAAGTTATGGAGGTAAGGCAATAAATAGGCTATAGTGCAAAATAATTACAATTAGTATTAACACTGGAATGATAGATGTGCAAGAGATGATGTGCAAATAGAGATACTGGGGTGCAAATGAGCAAAATAAATAACAATCAGCCTCATCTCATTCAAGTCCAATTTTTAAAAATATTTTTTAGGATGTGATTGTTGATTCTTCACAGATTAAACACTCACACAATGCTCTCCTTCAAAATTAACATTTTGATATAGCAAAAAGCGCAGTTGCCTAAAAAGAATGTTTACAATTGTGGGTGTGCAGCTCAAGAACAGTGAACCTGCAAAAAATTACACTTCCATCAAACAGCATTGGGTGAACAAGATCAATTCGAACAACTTGTCATATGTGTTCGCATCTCATGAAATTAATATTTTTATCATCTCCTAGACCCGAAAATTATCTCTCAAACTGGGCAAAAAAAAGCTACCCCAAAATGTCAACTTACATGTGTCTGCTACATTTTTAAAGATGACATTGGAGACGTTCTTTGGATCTGTCTTGCCTGCCTCCACAAACGCAAACCCAAACTTGAGGCCTATAAAATCAAAGTTGAAAGTAAAGTTAGAATTTTTTTTAAATCATCAAATAATAATACTATATTTATTTTATATAGCCACCACTTTTTATACAGTATCTCAAAGTCACTTAAAAAAACTACAACAAAAACTATTCAGGCAGCTGGCAGTTCATGGGAGATGGTCTTCCACAGATAGGAGTAACTTGAGTGTTGGTGGTGGCATCGATGGTACAGCCATCAGTCAGACAGGCAGGCCCGGAGCTTTTCATCAGGCACTTCTGTCGCTTAAGTTCACAGCTACTCCTCTGTATAGGCTTGAACATCCACCACCGAAAGTGTAGCACCCACCTGGGTCATCTTTCGGCAGCTATAAGCGGCTGAGAGACCAACACACCTTGGCAGTTATCTGTAATCCCCTCACACAGTCCACGTCCATCCAGAAACGGGCAGGTGTAATAAAAAACCGGTGCTGTTGTAGATCAGGTGTTGGATGCATCATTCAAATTAGATTAGCCAGCTAGCTATAGTTAACCAAGACAAGTAAACAGACCTGCCATCGTCAGTCCTGCAACTCGATGAGTCACCAACAGATATTTTAGCCCAACCCTCACCGGGTTATCAAACCCCCCAAAATATATTTTAAAAATGAAACAAAAAATACTTAAAATAACAAAAATATGTACAACATTTACAGAGCTCTCTGCCAAGGCTTCCTCATGGCGCCATGGCAACCACTGAACTAAGATTAGATAACAGTAAGAGCTTACTTTACTTACCTAGCTAGCTAGCTACGTTACCTAGCTTGCCTGTTGGACAGCCAGATTCATGAACCATACTCACACAATGCAAAGAAGCTGCAGAGGAGGATGAACGCATCATGGACAGCTATCGAGTCAGGGAAAGCCATGTCAAAAGACAGGTTTGTCTGTACAGCTAGCCAGCTGTAGCTGGTAGCATAAATAGCTAGCTACTAGTTTGCTAGCTGGTTCGTTAGCGCAACTGTTAGATAACTATGCAATGGCAAAACAAACAAGTAAACAAATAGCTAGCTAATGTTACACCTATAAGCACATTAGCTATGTGTGGCTCACGGCATCAGGCTCACAAGTGACTGATCGTGATGGAGGCAGACACGATACATACATATATTCAGGCTAGGTTGAAGATAAGTAGCTAGCTAAGTATAAGTTGCATTTTTTTGAACTTGCATTCAGGTGCTTCTATTACGTCAAAGATCCTTACCTGTGTGATTAGCTACTAATAATGAACCTCTGCGGAAGAGCACGAAATGCCTGTGTGACTGGTCTTGGACCTTGCTGAAGTCTCAAGTCAGTAAAGTCAAACAAATTGCTGTCAAAACCTTTGTCAGATAACATTAAATGCGTGTTCATTTTATGGTTAAAATAAAAGCAAGTAAGATTCATTTAGAATATATATATGTCATGCATAAATCATTATTTCAGAATAACTGACATTTGAAATGAGTGGCCCAAAAAAGTTTTCTGTGTACTGTTCTCCATCCAAACTCATGAAATGTGTGGCACTTATCTAATAATAAATAAATTAACTAGTAACAACAACAATGTGTGTGTGTGTGTGTGTGTGTGTGTGTGTCATTTGGTTTATTGTGTATAGTGTTATGCTCCTATGTTAACTGGGGTTGTAATGGGCTATAACTTCTCCTTGCTATTGCCACCACTGTCATCGTCAACAGGAAACGCTTGAGAGAGTTTGCTTTCTTTCTTTTCTCAGAGCTCTCAGATAACTGACAAGCCTACCATTTAAGATATTGACATTTAAATGTTTGTGTTGCTGTTGTCTGGACTTCAGATCATTCATAACTCTTGGTGAATTGATTTCATCACCTACCAGACAATTGACACACCAAACATGATTTCACAGAACAGGAAGGAGACAAAATAGTCAAGTAATTTTCTTTCTGTAGTCCTCCTATTGCACTTGTGGTGGGTGTTGTGCTGTGTCTTTTCTGTGTGGTGAAAGAGGAACATCTTCCTATTTTATTTCTCTGAACACTTGTCAGGCTGCACACTTCCTCCCCACAGCACCAGACAGAGCATTGCCAAGGGCGTAGCAGCAAGATACAAGGAGCCATTTTCTGACAGGCCTCGAAGTCAAACATGGCTATGATATGACTGCACCGTAACAGAGGGGTTGTCCAAGCCAACTGTCTTTCAAAGGATTTTGTATTTCATTTATATTCAGAAGAAGAGAGGGGAACAATGAGTTTTGACCGTGTGCCATCCAAGTCAGTGGTAATGGGCTGGAATCCACTCCAATTGGCAGACTACATGAAGAAGGTAAGTCGTTTTCAGGTTAGATTATTGCACCTTTTGTTGACAGTTCGCAACCTGTAAATTTTTTCCTTAGTTCTCTGTCTTACAAAATCATATTCAAAACTGCTTCTCAGTATCCATATTAATTCATTTGTTTTATGCATTTACAGTTGGATTTAAGTGGCTGCGATAAAGTAATTGTGAAATGTAACATAAATGGACAAAGGTTCTTGGTAAGTGATATGAAGCAAATGTGTGTCCCCTTTCCCATGTGTTCCTTGTATAATTATTCATCTTTGATCAGGGATTAGATATTTAAACAATGCTTTGACTGTCATGTAATGTATCACTTGATGGAAATACTTAATCTATCATTTTGTAGAACATGACTGAAAATGACCATCAGAAATTCCCCAAAATCCATGCACCGTGAGTATTCATTACTTTCTCTTTCATTATGTTAAGAAAACTGAACATTTCAACAATTACATTAAACTATTTTTACATGCTCACACTGAAAACCAACATAGGCACCCAAGTAGACTAAAGCACCCTGAAAAAGTACTCCACTTTTGGGTGGACCATTGTGAGGCAAAATGAAGACCACTCAGCCTTTTATGCCCCTGAACAATGAATACGTTGGGAAGTATGATAATTGCACAGGGAGAGGAAACTATTCAACAGCGATAAAATGGAGCTACATTAGTGTTTTAGGGCAGGAAACAGAGTAAACAGATAGACAGAGAGACCAAGAAGGACCTGAGAGAAAGGGAGGAGTGTGGTAGGGTGCCTTATTTGGTCCTCTGTAGCTCAATTGGTAGAGCATGGCGCTTGTAACGCCAGGGTAGTGGGTTCCATCCCTGGGATCACTCATATGTAAAAATTTATGCACACATGACTGTGGCATATTATTATTATTATTATTATTTTAGAGAAGAACATGTGGAGAACAGACTGAAATTGAAACTTCGATATACTTCAGATACCACATCCTGTCACAGTGGCAGACTCAAATAGAACTCACCAATCACTGCTCACAATATTGAACATATGACACATGCTCAGAACATGACTATAAGGCAGTTATTGACTGTGTCGATACACGACTGTGTGACAAAAGATGGAAACACTGTTTGTCCCAAAATATGGTAGCGGTATTGACTGCCACAATGTTGTATGCTCATTCTGCAGACTCATCTCCAAAATCTGCTGTGAAATCAACCGGAAAGAAGAAAAAAGGAGATTCTTTACTAAAAGGTGTGCACCTATTGCCATTCTTAGCTATTCAACTTTAGTAGTTTAATTCAAAGCGATATCCAAGCACAATCTTGCTCTCCTCTGTATTTTCTCCAGATCTGCAGCACCAAAATACGAACCAGGTATGGATGATTTCACATTTTTACTGACAGACCTGACCTTAGATCAAGTTATTATGATCGACAGAGAAGCAATTGGACCATGATAAATGGCTGATTTTACCATTGTACTGCTACCTACTACAGATACGCCGCAAGAGGATCAGCCCTGGGGACCGGATGAATTTGTAAGTCTGTATTTGGCTATGTCACTCTACTGCATTCTATTCCTCCCTGTTTTATTCCATTGAAGTGTTCCTCCCTAGATTATTTATCTCTTCATCAGTATTTAACTTGGTTGTCTGTCTCTCCCAGGATGAGGGGAGTGACGAAGACTATGAGAATCCAGATGCTGTGGAAGATGACAGCAGTGGGGGAGATTATGAGTCACCAACAGAGGATGTTGGACGTGAGGACAGTGACAACGGCTATGAGTCACCTCCGTCTGAGGCGCCTGAAGAGTTTCCCCATCAGCTCCGTGCTGCCAAGCCCATGGCTGACGGTGAATACATTGGTACGGAGACATCAATACAACATTGCCGTGCTCAACTCCTCTCACAAACGATATATGTTGTGATTTTCAATGAATGTATGTGTTTCTGTATGTGCTTCTTTATGTATCTGTCTCTGTGTTTAGATAGTAAACCGCACCACAGTACAGCTAGAAGCCAGCCTCCTCCAACAACTCAACGCCCTGGGGCTGGACCTCCCCTCCCCTTTGCCAGTCACCCTAGTGTGAGTATATTCCCTCTGACTATACCCCCTTTCCACTCTCTCCCTCCCTCCTTCCAATCAGTCATTCAACATTACATTTCACTCTGATATGAGGTTTTTATAGTGTTATGATGTCATGTCATAGTATCGTGGGGACCAGGTTAGAGTTACTAGATAATTGGCTTGGTGCCATGGAGTCTACATTCTGTTATGTCAAAGGAGTTTACTGATGTTTATGATAGCATGATTGATGGACAGGATATACTGACTTGGGGTAAAGAGTAATAACATCAAAGAATGGGAGTGCCCATGATGATTACCAGATGTTCGTGGAGAGACTTGTAACAGAGTGTATATATGGAGAGAGTGGATCTTTGTTCTGGAGTTAGGGAATTTGGTAAAGGCAAAGCTCTGTCCTTCTGTTATAACTAACCATGTTACAATATTAAATCTTATATGAACTCCCCATCAAAAGTGTCTAAGTACATCCTTACATTCGTAATCACTTGATACCCTAGAAACTCATCATAACACACTCCTTGTATCTGCAGCTACTGCACCCTCCCCCATCCAGAAGAGAGCAATCTCCCCAGCCCCCAGGCAGAATACCTGGCAAGTGTAAGTGTACAATCTAGAATGTTAGTATCTAACTATAAATATAGCATTTGAACACTTTTTAGTCCCTTGTATTGATTTGTATCCTGTCTTTTCATATTGTTTTTTTAAAAGTGCCTGCTCCTTCTTCAAGTGCTCCCCCTGCTCCACCAGTTGACCGCAGAAGAAAGCCCACCAAACTGGATCGCACAAGACTTGATGAATCTCCAATACCAGGTACTCTCACACCACAGGAGGCTGCTGAGGGGAAAACGGCTCATAATAATGGCCGGAACGGCGCCAATGGAATGGCATCAAACACCTGGAAACCATGTGTTTGATGTATTTAATACCATTCCACTGATTCCGCTCCAGTTATTACCACGAGCCCGTTCTCCCCAATTAAGGTGCCACCAACCTCCTGTGTCTCACACCAATCCAAACCCAGCAAGCAAACGTTTACTACAGAAGTTGTCTGTTCCTACACCTGCCTCTCCCACAGATACATGTCATGTAACTGTTCCTCTTCCATAAGTACATTTCAATGGAAACCGCCTGGCGTGTTAATATGGAGAGGATGCTTTCTATTTATGTTAGATTTACATACTCAATCACATTTAAAGGATTTATCATCACCATAAAGCAATGATGTAATGTTTTTTTTTTATGCCCTCGTGCTGACCTGATGCTCTGTTTGTCCACACAGCAACGCAGTTAAACACAACTAATAGGGTGAGAATTCACTTTGGTTATGTTTTGATTAGTCCTATACAGTGTCCAAACAACGTTATTATCATCCCTACATCATCGCAAAAATGTCACGTGAACAAACATATGCAGATAAAACCTTTTATGTTCTTGCTGAAGTTATAGTTGGCCTATATAACTGTATAACTAATAGCTATAAGCATGTCTACATATGAGTGTTTAAAGGCCATCCCAGACTCTTTGCTAATTGTTTGAAATATCAAGATTTCACAATGAAATGTATGACGTTTTTGTTTTCTCTCTCTCACGTAGCCTGCTCCACATTCATGGAGGTAAAGAATACTTATTTTGGTTCTATACTGCTTTCCAATCATATGAGTTCTCGCAATTCAATTTCATAATGTCATTGACAATGCACCTCCTTCCCTGTTTGAATGGTGAGTATATTGAATCATGAGTATATTCACAACCCTTGACTTTTTCAGAAATGTGTTGTGTTACAAAGTGGGATTAAAATTGATTTAATTGTCACCACCTTGCTTGAAAATATGAAGAGTGGTACTAAGTGATGTGTTGTGTTGGATTTTCCCCAAACATAACGCTTTGTATTCAGGACATAAAGTTAATTTCTTTGCCACATTTTTTGCAGTTTTACTTTAGTGCCTTATTGCAAACAGGATGCATCTTTTGGACTATTTTTAATCTGTACAGACTTCCTTCTTTTCACTCTGTCAATTAGGTTAGTATTGTGGAGTAACTACAATGTTGTTAATCCATCTTCAGTTTTCTCCTATCACAGCTATTAAACTCTGTAACTGTTTTAAAGTCACCATTGGCCTCATGCTGAAATCCCTGAGCGGTTTCCTTCCTCTCCGGCAACTGAGTTAGGAAAGACGCCTGTACCTTTGTAGTGACTGGGAGTATTGATACACCAACCAAAGTGTAATTAATAACTTCACCATGCTCAAAGAGATATTCAATGTCTGCTTTTTTAATATTTTTACCCATCTACCAATAGGTGCCCTTCTTTGCTAGGCATTGGAGAACCTCCCTGGTCTTTGTGATTGAATCTGTGTTTGAAATTCACTGCTCGACTGAAGGACCTTACAGACAATTGTATGTGTGGGGTACAGAGATCAGGTAGTCATTAAAAAATCATGCTAAACACTATTACTGCACACAGAGTTTGTCCATGCAACTTATTATGTGACTTTTTTTTCTCCTGAACTTATTTAGGCTTGCCATAACAAAGGGGTTGAATACTTATTGACTCAAGACATTTCAGTTTTTAATTTTTAATTAATTTGTAAAATTCCACTTTGACATAATGGGGTATTGTGTGTAGGCCAGTGACACAAAATCGAAATTTAATTAATTTTAAATTCAGGCTGTAACACAACAAAATGTGGGGAAAGTCAAGGGGTGTGAATACTTTCTGAAGGCACTGTACACCACATTTGTTGTACATATATTCCGTTTCTAAAGCGGTGCCTTTTCTCAAGAAATGAACCAAGCTTTAACTTCCTGTATTGGTAACTACACTGTCCAGTTTGGGAACCTATTACTTCACAATGCTCCTATTTCCAGGCCTCAGGCAGAAGAGAGGGGTCCAGACCCTCCCAGAATGGCCAAACCCCCCCTCCCTCAGTCAAGTAGTGTCAGCAGGAGCAGCTCGTCGGTGGGCAGAGCCCCGCTGAACAACAACAGGTCTGCAGTGCACCTAGCCTTCCTCCATCCTTCATACAGCACAGCTCCAGACACACATCATGAGTCATATCGACTACGCATCAACTGATTCTTCAATTATCACACTGTGGTTCAGTGGTTAGTTAAGCAATGAGGCCCGAGATGGTGTGGTATACGACGCAACGCGGAGTGCCTGGATACAGCCCTTAGCCATGGTATATTGGCCATATACCACAAACCCCCGAGGTGCCTTATTGCTATTATAAACTGGTTACCAACGTAATTAGAAAAAAGTAAAAAATACATACATATACCTGTGATATACAGTCTGATATACCACGGCTTTCAGCCAATCAGCATTCATGGCTCGAACCACCCAGTTTATAAGGAAGTACACTCAAACAGGAATAAATATTTATTTACTATTTACTGACTTTATTTTCCCTGTGGGAAAATGTTGTTGCAGTGTCATGTACACGTTTAAAGTGCCATTTTAAATACAAAACAAATTGACAATACAACTTTAATAACAATTACATACCAATAAAAAAAGAGACTAGCCTGCTGGCCTTACTGGGTCAATAGGAACATTAGCCAGAGATATTTAGGAGGGATATCACACCTGGCACAAATGATTGTCTAGTTCTGTTTTTCCTACCAAGGGGTGCCCTATACCTGCACCCAGAGGGGAGTAGTTCAAAGTCCGGGTACATGTTGGTGGCTTGGGTCTAAAATGATTTGTTCAAAGTCCGTGTACAGGGGGTGGCTTGGGTCTAAAATGATTTGTTCAAAGTCCGTGTACAGGGGGTGGCTTGGGTCTAAAATGATTTGTTCAAAGTCCAGGTACAGGGGGTGGCTTGGGTCTAAAATGATTTTGTGAGCCTTACAGAGGGCCCTGATCTTAAAGATCTCATCCAGACCTGTCTGTTTGACTCCAAGTACCTTGCTTGCTGTGGTGAAAATCCTTCTCAGCATTTTTCTCTGGCTGACAGTGGCATTTCCAAACCAACAAACAATACAAAACGTTAAAATACCCTCAAATGGGGTGGCGGAGTGGAATTGCGGTTGTTTAGTTAGTGGGAGCTAATTGAGCTGGGGTGAATCACTGCCACAGATCACAGCTTTGTAGGACCTTTACTTGTTGTAGAAAGGAGAAACTCTGCATCTCAAGATGTGTACTGTTTTATAATTACCCTTCCAGTCTTCCATCTGTGTTTTGTTTGATTTGTTGGTTGTTGCACATACAGGATTTGGCTAAATCTTTGTGCTCGCTTATTGAGTTTAACACTAAGAAGCAATATGCAAGTGAATATAGCAACTCATTCAACTGTAATTTCCATTTGTGTTGCAGATATGTGCCTGATGCAAGAAATGAGGTAAGGGTATGTCATGGTGTACACGTGGTGACATCACCATGATGGTGGGAGTTGCTGATAAGGATTTTCAAACTGTGCCTTTTTATCGTAACTGAGAAAAGGCGGTAGTTCCCCCTCATAACATGTTTAATCTTATGTCATCAACAGGTACAAGATGATGGTAAGACATTTTCTAAAACCTTTTTCTACTTGTTAAGGGAACTTTACATTGTACTTAATCTTCATCCTGTTTTAAATTGAAGGACTATGCAGTCATAGTGATTGCATTAGTCTATCTCTCTTCCAGTGCCCATGCCCAAACCATACAACTCCAACACATTTCCTAGACCAGGGCACCCTAGACCAGCGCTCCCCGGACTATCTTTACATTCAGACAAGTAAGATCAGTTTTGTCATGTCAAAGTTAGAAATGAAAATGCTACTAGGCTAACATGGAGGACAGAACGTTGCAGAGGTGCTGGAATCATTAAAAGGTATACACATTTGAATGGTAATCTGCAAACTGTTGTTCCATCTCTCTCCAGCTTTCCTCCTAATATCGCTTCAACTGCATCTCTACCTTCAAAACTGCAGGCACTGCAGGAATGTGAGTGCTGTGTTTTCACTTCAGTGCCCATCATTAAACACTACCCTGTTAAAAGATACTGTACAGAGTGTAAATATAACAACTTCTCCTTTTGATAACTGGTATGATTCTCCTTTCTTTCTTTCTTTCTTTCTTTCTTTCTTTCTTTCTTTCTTTCTTTCTTTCTTTCTTTCTTTCTTTCTTTCTGTCTTTATTTCTTTCTTTCTTTCTAAGCCATCTCACCCAGGAACAGTACTAGGATAGTGCCAGACAGACACATTATGCTCGCTCCGCCTCCTGCGCAAGCTTCTATCCCCCCACCTGCAGACCTAGAGGATGAACAGGTGATCCCCCACCACACAGACAGTCAGACAGACAGACAGACAGACAGATTCTCGAATACTTACAGTATGTTGGACCTGGTCTAGTGACTTGCAAAGCTCAGTAGGTGGCGCCATTGCATTGTTATTCTAAGGGAGTATTGTACATTCAGGCTGCCAACCCCTAGTCTCAACAGCTGTGTTGAGCAGAGCCCTTTGACTCTAAGACTAGTCAGCTCTTCTTGAATAGATCAAATATTTCACTAGGTCCTCATACAATACTGTATGTGCAAATAATAGTCATTTGGAGCATTTAACAACTCACTTCTATTGAACAATGTGGAAACATGGATTTTTGTTAATGTGGTTTTTTGTCTGAAGCCTATCACAGAAATTAGTAACAGGTCACAAAGTCACAATCCCATATGATTGATGTGTGATTGTGTTCCTGTGTGAATATGTAGGACCTGAACCATCAGTGGTACGTTGGGCAGGTGACACGGGGCCAAGCAGAGGGCTGTCTCAGACAGGTCAACAAGGTGAGACGTCTTCTGCTGCCAACATCACTCACACACCTGGTTGACTGTAACAACGGGCAAACTGTCATTCACACACTGTACTCACAGATTCATCGTGACAATGTTTTTTGAAGGGACAATGCAATATCACGTATAGTCCAATGTCCAAAATGACAATATACTGTATATATATATTTAGAAATGTGTATAGTTCACCAGTACTCTTTGGTGATAGAATACAACACACACACACCACTATAATGTGCAATGTTTTTCTGTTTCATTTGCTGTTTAGGATGGTGCATTTCTGGTACGGGACAGTTCGAAGCGCTCGTCCGTCCAACCCTACACGCTCATGGTGCTCTACCAGGACAAGGTTTACAACATACAGATCCGCTGTGAACAGAATGAGTTTCTGCTGGGGACTGGACTGAAGGTCTCAGAGGTGACAAGATCAGCCTCATTTATCCTGCCTATGGCCAAGAGGTCACCTGGTCAGAAATGAACTCATATCCCTAATTATGACCAGTCAGAGTAATATGTGTAATTTTAAATCATATTATCAATCACTCTGAGGACGGAGTAGTGAGCTTTGTGAACTGGATCCATTAATCTGTAATCTGAAAGTTTGTTGTATAGTAATTTTTACCAAAACATCAACTACGAGATTTGATTAGATGTACAGACAACCATCTTTATATTTATGTTTCAGCTTCTGTTATGACACGGCTCAATGAACCCCTGCTAATGTATCGGCTCATGTTTTATGTTCCAGACCTTTCCGATGGTGGCAGACATCATCGCCCATTACAGACAGTCACCACTTCTGCTGATTGATGCTAAGAACCGGGGATCAGGACAGCAGAGCCAGTGTCCCCTGATCTACCCAGCAGGTAGAGCACTAGCACGTCACTATCCATCTTTTTAACAGACAGCTGAGGGAGGGAGAACAATAACATGAATCAATATTCAAGATTCACAGTGGTTTTAATGGACTGCCACTAACATTATGGGGGAAGGAGTTATGCAACCTTTGAATTCCAGTTCACAGTCTTTACATGTAAGGTCATTTCATGTAAAGACAAGTGACTCTTGGATGGAGATGGTAGGTGCAGTAGCACTCTGTCAACTGTTCACTGTATGGACCTCAGAAAGAAAAGGCCATGTACAATACAATAATATTTGTAGTTTTTGTCTCAGTGTGTATTTTTATTTCAGTATGGAAAGCACAGAAGCTAAAAATGTCCATGTGAGTAGTTCTGTAAATGCTTGTGTTTGTTTGTTATTTCCCTGTTACATGCAACGGAAAGGTCTAGATAGCTGCTAGCTCTGCTATGAATCAGAAGCAGCATACATTATCCAAGTAAGGAGATAGTGGTGTAGACAGTCAGTCACAACTGCTGAGCTTTCATAATATCCTTTTTTTTGTTTTGTTTTTTGCATTGTTTAATGGTTAAATGAAAACTATATTCTTCAATCTCTGACACTGTATGTTCTATAATGTAGCTGTTTATCAATGTTTCAAATAAACTTTTGCATTTTTTTATTGGAAACTTGTGGCATAAATTCTACAAATCATTGGTCATAAATGGCGGCACACTAGAAAAACTTCACTGACCTCTGTGCCAAATTCTCCATATCTTTTTCATTGACTTTATGTCACCAACATCCATTGTTTCTCTAACTTGCCTGAAGCATAGAAGATGACCAAAGGCTCCTCGCTGCTGATCTGGCATTGTCATATTAGGACAGTGAATACGAAAGCGTGTCGGATCTGGACTACTAACCTGTTGTGAAGTACAATGCCTCACCATCGGAATCATTATTAGAATCAGACTGTGTATAAAACCTTTATGTTCCTAATCGCTCTCATTTGTCTGTTGTAATTTACACAAGCCTTGTCATTTGGAGTGTGAAGATCTTAAGCGTCCAGTATGTAAAATACAATAGCAGACAATATAACCCCCCTGGAGGGACAGATGTGCCGTTATGTCTGTGTCAGCACCAGAGGAGAGGATTACTATAATCACACTAACTGCCATCCTCGGTAGCCTCCAAGATTCGTGTCTTTGAAATGAATCATGGAACACTTAACCTGTCTTTGCAAGGTCATAGTCTCTAAGCGGATAAAGTGGGATATATCTTTCGGAGGAACTTCCAAATTCACAAATGGTGAAAAGCAGAAACAATCAAACTGCCATCATGTCTCCGGCCAAATTCAAGCGTGGATTACAGGACACATGACTGTGCAGAAACGTTTGCAGTAAAACAAGCACATCAGCTCTTCTAAGCCTGCATGGATCACTGAACTGAGGCATGTAATCATAACGTTCCTGAAACACTCGTCTCATATTTATGTTTCCACCCATTGCGGTACATACTACTGTCTCCCGTAAAAAGTAGTTATTCCGCATTAAAAAAAAGAAGCCATAGTAATCAACCGGCGCACTCTGTGTGTAGATTGCCAAATATCTTCGTGCCCACTCCGCTCTTGCGTATCCTATTATGGGCATTGAAGACCACGCTACAATGGAAAAGTATTAATTGCTGGCGTCCCGGGCGATGGCCATTTATGAATTAAACTACGAATATAGGTTCCTATAGGAGAAAAACCAAACAGTTTAGAGAAATTTCAGAACTGCTAATGATATGTAATTATTGTTAGCTTTAAAGGTCCATACGCAGAGAAATAACACAATTTTATGTTTTAAAGTAATTTAATATGGAGAACATGGCATTCTTTAAAGCATTATTTGGGCGGGGTAAATAAATGATATTAAAATCATCCATGGAGATGGCTGTTGCGCCAACCCGAGTTACCACGCGAAGACAATGAAACGTGTGTCGGAAGGAAACGGGAGCGGCTGGTGTAAATCTGACACGGGTTGGCTAAAGAAAGGGCAGGCACAATACAAATAGTTTTAACAATCATATCTGTTTCTGACGATGAAGGTATTAATGGGCAGAGTATTAATGGCTTCACACCCAACCCAATTCGTTGTATTTATAACAACTGCTTCTGAATAAAGACCTATCTAAATTTCACCAAGCATTATGTCTAACATGTTTGTGACATCTAAGAAATGGACAAGGAAAACAGTTTTGGGAGAGAAAAAATATACAATTCAGAACCAAGAAAATCATGTATACGAAGAAGCCTAAATGCAGTTTCCCCTTGGAATGTTGAGCGCTTGAAATCACATTTGAAGTGATTGCCTATTTGAGCCTATCATCATATATCACATATTGCCCATACATCCATGTAAGAGAAAAACAAATACATGTACAAACTTAAAATTCAATTGACATTCAATTATCCTTTCATATTATGTTATATTTATATATTATATTTGAGTCTTGAAATGGTTCTACATTAAATTACTATAACCTTTGTAAATGTAGCACCCATTTCCCATTATGCTGTAAAATAACCACTTTTAAAATGTTCTTAAGCATAGTGACTGGGTGGATGTCAAATTAAAATAGCTAAACATTTCACAGAGCTTAGACTAACTACTGGTGGAGTACTGGTGGAATTCCACCTCCTCCTATTCAAGGGGAATCCTCCACGCCTAAACTCACTCAATAGCATGGTCACAGAAACACCCAATCAGAGAAGACGTGGGTGTCGCTGTAGTACTATAAATTGACCAGGTGAGACAGGTGTCAGGTTGTGATGCACCTTACTGGACACAAAAGTATTGAACAGAGTGAAAGGCAAAGACCTCTCAGCTGGAAACAGAGGAACAGATAATACTGAAGAGGAATTTTTTTTACCAGAGCCATTTATTAGACTGAAGAGACCAGCTGCCAATCCAAGGATCAGTCTGTGGGTGAGCATGATGTCGTTTGTGCCACGGGGCCTCTCCCCACCTCCATGTGGGACCCAGTACACCAGCCTCGAACAGGAGCCTCCAGAGTTCAGCCTGTACAGCGACAACATCTACAGCCCTCCAGCACTGCCTGGCCCACAGCAGGCCACCCCTACTGCCTACGACCTGGGAGACTACACCAGCCCTCCTTCCAACCCTTACTTGTGGTTTAACGGCCCAGAGCTCAACAGTGTTCCCTACCTAGGGGGACCCACGGGGCCAATCTGTGGGCCCTATGTGCCCCAACTCTACAACATGCAGAGGCCCTATCTGGGTGCTGGCGGGCCGGGGGGTGGTGTAGGGGACCTGAGCTGGTTCTCCATGCCCTCTCAGGAGGAGCTGATGAAGCTGGCCAGGCCACCATACTCCTACTCTGCCCTTATTGCCATGGCGATCCATGGGGGCCAAGACAGACGGCTCACCCTGAGCCAGATCTACCAATATGTAGCAGACAACTTCCCCTTCTACAACAAGAGCAAGGCCGGCTGGCAGAACTCTATCCGCCACAATCTCTCCCTCAATGACTGCTTCAAGAAGGTGCCCCGAGATGAGGATGATCCAGGTAAGAACATTTGTTCCATGCCTACACAATGTTTGATTTACAAAAGGGAAATGTATACACTTACAGTATAACCTTAAAAAAAAAGTGTAATGTGTCTCAGACAGATGCCTAATTATGTAAGAGCAATTCCTTAACAAAAATGTCTTATGTGACTTCTTACAGGCAAGGGTAACTACTGGACCCTGGACCCCAACTGTGAGAAGATGTTTGACAACGGCAACTTCCGTCGCAAGAGGAAGAGGAAGTCGGACTCCCTGCCTGGCGAGGGGGGCTCCTCAGGTTCTGAGTCGTTAGAGTCCAGCCCCAAACACCACAACAACATGAATGACGTGTCCAGCTCCTCTGACCGCGGCCCCTCCCCAATCTCCTCAGCCCCCTCCCTCTGCCTGAACAGCTTCCTGTCTCAGATGGCTGAAGTGGGGATGGAATCAAACACAGTAGCGGCAGATACCCTCCACAGACCCAGCCTGGCTATAGAGCTGCCCCAACGGGCCTCTCCGGCCCAGGGATACGGCTCCTACTCCCCCAATGCTGCGATGCCTCAGTGGGAGGTCTGTATGTCCCATCCACAGCAGCCTACCATTTCCTCCTCTCCTCCCCTCTACCCTGCGGGCTACAGTGACTCTGTCCTCACCCAGCTCAGCAGCCAACTATATCCAGCCCTGGACTCTGCCTCAATGCTTTACCCACGGGAAGGCACAGAGGTGTAAAACACAACTGATAGATCTACTGGGTCATTCCACCAATTAGGTGCCTTTTGAGTACTTTAACTTGTTGAAAAAAACAGTTTAATTTCACCTACTTTTAACATTCTGTCTTTAAGAGCACTGGTTCAACTTAATAATAAAAAAAAGTTAAATAACAAAAATACTATAGTAAGGCCTATTAAGTGCCAAATAAAGTAACAGGGTTGACTGTAACAGGGTTCACACTTCTAATCTGATCTTAAATCAGCCATAAATCCCCTTGTGACAGGGGGAATGGAAGCTTGTTGTGTGCAACAGGGAGGGGCAATTGAATTCAAGCTTCACTAACTTTTATTGTTAAAACATTTCTAGCCTGTCTATCTATGGGTAACAGGGTTGACGTATTATTCTCAACCCGCTCAGTTTTCCACCACCAAAAACTAGAAACTGACAAAAAAATGTAGAGCCAGCTTACCTGCTTTTATGCTATGATTTGACTATTAGATGTTCAATGTCTCTTTTGAAAAAAAATATTTAAAAAGGAATAGTTTCACCATATTAAAACAAAAGTTCAGTTCACGTAACAGGATTGACCTTAAAATTAATCACTAATATCATTAAATAAATAATAATCTTCAGAAATGATTTTGTCAAACCAACAAAATAACCAGGGCTTTACAATGATGGTGAAAACTTTGGAGAAATGTTGGGGTTAAGTGGGTTAAAATCTTCCTAGAAGTCACAGAGGATGAACAGAGGGACGTGTCAAAATGCTGAATTTCGGCACTTTAGCAAGTCTTTATTCATATGGAAATCAGATGTATTGAATTTTCCATGTGGTCTATATTAAAGGGCACGTCATTTAATATAACAGGCTTTTAAATATTTATGCACAATTTCTACTTGAAGCATCAAAGGGACACAAAAGGCACTCATTTCGTGGAACAACTGTACTGTCTAGTGTGCACCATAGGGCAGCTTGCCTTCGACAAACTCTCACCGGAACGTCTTCCCCAGCAGAGAATGAAAGTGCACTGAACTCATACTAAAGAGTGGGTGATTTACAATGGGTTTTTTTTTCTCTCTTAATTGATTGTACATATGTATATTGTTTGCGGATCCATATATTGTCTTTGTAATTTCAACTGAACTATCTGTAAAATGTTTATTGAGGGATTCTTGATTTTAATAAAACTTGTGGGTTGTGTATGTGTTGTACATAAATGTCCTGTCATCAGGCTTTTTCATATTGCTAAAATAAAGAACAGTAAAAACAAGACATTCTCACTGCTATTTTTCTGGGAGTATTTATTGCATGAAAACTGAATAAAAGAGAGAAATACAGTATATGGTCACACTATAAACCCCAAAACATTATTTGGATCGTGATTAATTCTGAAATCCCTATTTAGCATGGTACGTATCATGCAGTTTGATCAAGATTTGATTGCCAGTGCTTTTGGTTGAGATAAGACAAGTCAAGCTCCCATTACAGTCAATGATCCACGTCAGAGAGACAGGTTGTGAAATGAGGGAGGTAAATAAACCGTTAAACAACACTCTAAACAGGGGGGGAAAAAAAGACAGGTTTGACAACCAGCTAACTAAAAGATAGACGCAACAGAACTTGTTCCTCAAGGTTCCCCTCTGCTCCCACTTTACTGCCACACTCCCTCTCCTCACACCTGACCCTTTATTTGCCCCTCTTGTGTTCAGGGTGTAAACCCATGCCTCTCAGCATCAGTCAGACATGCTTTTGGAGACCTAATGACCTATTTAACAGATTGATTTCCTTTTACACTATATATGAACAGGACTTCTTAGAAGGCTATTTGCAATTGTGTTATTTTTCCCATATTGGCAAATACAATCTTTAAAGGCCCAGTGTAGTCAAAATTCTGTTTTTCCTGTGTTTTGTGTCATATTGTACAACAGCTGATATAACTAACACTGTAAAAGTGTGGGGGGAAATGTGTCAGTGTTAGTTTCTGATAGTTGCTGGATGAAAATACAATCTACACAGGACCTTCTAATCAGCCTGTTTGCATTGGCGGGAGTTTCGGTTTGCCTGGTGACATTACCAGGCGGTAAATTGGTTAATAGACCAAACACAAAGACAGTTCCAAACCTCCGCCAATAACAGCTAGTTTTAAGTTTTCCCCTCCCAACTCAGACCACTCCCAGATAGTCCTAGCAAAATTCTTGCTTGAGAAATAGTTTTTTTTTAGCTTTTTTGTCAATTTTAATGGAACATTATTACAGTAAGGTATTTTAATTGTTACCCAGAAATGATTTGATAAAGTCGGCTGTATTGGGCCTTTAAACAACTCCATTAACTTTTCTGCAAGGGTTTGGAGGTGGGTGTGGCATTTCAACTTTGGATGACCTCAACTTTGGATGTCCTCAACTTTTGATGGCCTCTCCTTCTTGAGTTTTCTCCTAAAACGTACACTACACACCTGTCCCGTTTCTGCCCCACCCCCTTCACAATTCAAATTTAGTTCTGTTCACATTCTTAAATGTAGTCTTCAAGATCTTTCTAGCACACCATTGGCTTGACACGTCTTTTAGCTTTTCTATGCCATTTTGTAGAGCACACCCAACTGTACAACCGGGGAATGTGAAAGTAGACTCTTCTCACAACAAGTTAGTTTGACAGTTGACAGTATTATACTTTTTTTCAGTGCATTACATGTTTGGCATGTATCTATTTGCTTTAACAATTTTCTTTCATCTCAGCACAAAGTAAAAACTGCTGACAGTAACACAATAAAATCTCACACCTCCAATGTTCACACAAGCTGAAAAAACATGTCACCTCAGCAGATTCAATTGAGGAAGTCTGTGAGATGATAAGGTCAACATCTGTAGCCCAACGCTTAGCGCCATGGGAACCAGAGCACCCCATGTCTCCCTCGGAGTAGCAGGTAACAAATGGGGACTGGAGAACAGGTTTGAGGATCCATTCCCATGTCTATCTTTGGCCAGGAAGAATCTGTGGAGAGGCCCGAGAGAAACATCGAGTGAGAAAATGAAGGGAGTAGTGGGGAGAAAGGGGGAAGTGTTTAACGATCACACTCACAGATCACCACTTGGAGAGAGGGACAGGGGGGTAATGATCCTCTACACTCTACAGGCCTCAGCGCCGTCCAATCCCTCTCTCCTCTCTCCACCCCCCTCATTCCATTCCTCTCCTGTTACTACTAGTTTGGAGGGAGAGTGAAGGGAAAAGAGCGTTCCCGTAACACGGAGGCATGATCACTTGTCTTAGTCGTCTTGGTTGTGTGATACTCATGGGTTTAATCAGTCGCCTCTGTTGTTTACTTTGATTGTGTCAAACGTCAATGTGTGCCCTTACTCTTACTTGTGCCAAGCAAAAATCCACACTTCTGCAGTATCTCAAATGTAAGATGTAAGAGTGAGTCCAGTCAAAGTCCAGTCATAGATTTCAATTTTGATAGCCTGAGATCGATGACATCAGTTAAAAGAGGCCTCATGATAAGGTAAGGAGGAGTCATGTGAAATTCAGTAATTACCCCACCTTGCCTCATTAGCCTAGTGAACCCTCAGAGAGGCAAGTGTTCAGTCCCTCTGTCAGCAGATGATAACAGCAGGCTCGTCATTACCCAGTCAACACGGGTAAAGATGACGTGCCACACATCTCTATCTATAGCCCCATGCCCTCCACCACCCCACCCACATGCTCCAGGATCTCCGTCCTCGTGTTTATTGACACAATACTATGATCCACTATCTTGACTTGATGAAACTGCCCTCCCCCTTCAGATGTCGAGGTGATTGATAAACGACCAACGACAGCGTAGGTGCCCTGTGTTTATGGTCTTGTGCCTCTTCAACTGTATCTGTCAGTGTTGCTTGTGAGGAAATCTAGAGATTTTGCCTTTGGTGTTCTGCATAACAGTAGTAAAAAAGAAACTTTACATTATTTTTAGCAAACACTGTTATCCAGAGCGACTTACAGGAGCAGTTAGGTTTACGTGCCATGCTCAAGGACACATCGACAGATTCTTCACCTTGTCGCCTCAGAGGATTCAAACCAACGACGTTTCGGTTACTGGCCCAACTAGGATACCTGCCGCTCTCATCTCAATCCACATATTGTATACTCTAACCAACTCAGGCCCCCTAAGTATTTAAAAAAAAATCTTAGCCAGGCCAATTTAATTAAGGTAAATACAATTAAGGTAAATACAATTTTAGACAGGATAGTTTTCCACGATTTCACCCCCATTTTTCATGTAAAAACCCATTATGTAACAGATAAACAACTGCCAGATGGGTGCAAATGAGGCCCTTAATCTGTCCTGTGTGACATGTAGAATGTGCCTGAGGTCCGTCTCTAGTTTACATGTGTATCTAGCTCACAGCATGGGCCTGTCTGAGGCTGGGCTGGCTGGTCTAGTCTATGAGACCAGGCTGGTCTGAGGCCAAAGGGGACAAACGGCAACCTAAAACCCTGCCCCCTCTACCTGCTGTTTACATCTCTCTGCTTATCCACCAGCTCAGTCCAGTGGTGACGCGTCATTCAGGGCAGGTGGGGCAGCTCAAAAATAAAATAAAATACAACCTAATTATTATTATTTTTTAAATATATGTAAGTTATTTTGGCATTAATACGTGTCACATATCAGTTTGCAAACAATGTAAAATAAATAAATAATTTAGTTATTAAAGCCGCATACAAACATGGTCTCTTTTTTGCTTTCTTGAGTAAGGCAGCTCCAAAATGCAGGTGTTTCATCCAAGCTCAGTGCTTTCTGTGGTGGTGGGGCAGCCAGCAGAAAATACGGAGCGTAGGGGTTGGAAAATGTTCTCTAGTTGCGCCGTGATTGGCTCAGTGTTCTGTCACTCAAGGGGACACTATGTCACCGCAAAATCTATGGGTAAAACTCAGAAATTCAAGCCCCTTGGGTGCTGCCATAGACTTACATTAGAAGTGCCCATCCAAGAAGGCTCAAGGTCATTGGCCACATATAAAATGACGTCAAATCACGTTATATCTACCTTAGCTTTGATTGGACTGATCATGTCAACATCATACTTTCAAAA